GCCGGGCCGCGCCGTCGCGGCCTTGCCCGCGCCCACAAGTGCCCGTTAAGGAGTAGGTAGACAAGATAGACCCCAGAAGCAGGCCTATGTGCGTCCCCGTGTTGCATCCTGAACTTTAGCCATTCATTTAGTCCACACTGTTGTTACCTTAGTATACCTATGAGCCTTTAAAAACTGCAACTCATATTCTAAGAAATGGAAACACAGGTAATATAAAATAATTTATTCACATAATTTACATACAGAATATGACTACTTTCTTTGAAACAGAAAGCTTATATGCAATGATACAGGGTGTCAAGACAACTCTAAGGAGGATTATGCCAGATCCTTGTGAAAATGCTAAATAGTCATTGAGAGTTCACTGATCTTTTCTAGCATCCTTCACCATTATAAAACTTTCATACACAAAACAGAACACAAAGTTGCCTTATCTCTATTCAAATTAAATTTGTTCTTTAAAAAAAGAATCCTCTAACAAAGTGCATATGATTTACTGCAGGGGAAAAAATGTGTAGCCCCCATTAACAAGGTAGATAAGGCACATTAAATCTTAGTAATGAAATAGTTGTGGGGTTTTTTTTTTCCATGTAATACAAATGCAAGCTAAAATGTATGCAACTAAATGCAGAATGGTTATCACCTCAGCAAGTACTTAGGGCAATTATTTTATAGCCACTCCCCATAAATCTATTTTTAGGTGCTATCAGTGCAAGTAATTTAAACATGCCACATGTGTCGGGAACTAAACACTTGCATACATAAAATAGTATCTACAAGATATACAATACATGGAGCTTTATGTATAATCTACTTCATGTTTACAGTAAGACATCAGATAAACATTTCAAGTTAAATGGATTAGGCAGAGCACAAGATAGTGTCTGAACACAAACGTTGGGGGGCATTGGGGAAGGAGGTTGACAGTATGCTTTCAAGTAAGTTACTTTACACTGGGACTGTTAGTCCCTTTTCCATCACCTCAAGAAGATACTGCTGCTAATTTGACTGACAGCAGCCTAATAACATAAGCAATTTGCAGCAACAGTAGCTTTTCTGTGTATGTTTTCCTTATGGACAAAATTTTAAAGGTTCCTTCAGAAGCCTTGCCAACAACTTCTGAAAAAGCAATCACTCTCAAATCTCATCAAGTATTTCAAAATTAACTAGATACTTATATGAAAATATTTGCCAGTAAGTTATTATGCAGTCCAAAGAGGAAGACGGGTTTCTTGAGAACATAACAATACCATTTAAACATCAGTTTGACTTTCATAATAAATCACTTGTTTCACAGAAGTACTTGCTGGTATTAAGAAACAAGATAAAACTCTAGACCACTTAAATCTACACACTCAGTTTTGTGTAATAAGGAGTTTCAGAATAAATATTGAATCTTTCAGTGACCACATGACTTTGAGACTGCACAAACCTTGTTACCTCATCAAGACAATCTTCTTGATGAGGCAAGTAAAAAATTAGACTAAAATCTGAAGCTACGCCAGCATTTTATAGTGAGTTACAGTACAAGCAGACATGCAACACGAGGAAAACCATTCAAATTCAACTGTTTCAAAGTAGCAAAGCCTCAAAGCAATCACACTGTGTATTCATGGTTTAAATCCAATCTCTTTGTGCTGCTTTGCACAAAGGAAACCAAGGAAGTCAGCTGAGATACAAACACACCTAAAATCAAGGAAAAGAAATTGTATCTATCCCCTTGTTTTCAAATTTAGAAGGAAATTAGCATTTATACTAGTAAACAATAACCTCTTCCTCCCACTCCAACAGAACAGCTGCGAAGATTAACACTGTATAGCATCTTTTAGTAAATTGTGTTTTTCTGGTTGTTCTCAATATATTTTTTAAGGAACTAAACCCATTTGGCTTCTCAGGCTAAGATCTTTTAATTTATGGCATTAAAAACTCTTACAAAAATACATAATTTGGAGATGCTAATAAAAATACCTGCAGTGCTGAACATATCTATGTATTTGCTACATTACTTACAGCATTTGCATCCTGATCTACAGAGATTACACTATACATGAAAGGTTCATTCCTCCTTCTAACACACTGACATAGCATACTTCACAAAAAGAAGTAAAGAACTTGTATAACCAGTACCACAAGCTTTAGCATTAAAATTCAAAGGGATACTTGTCACAAGATTAAGCACTTTTTTCATTGCACTCTTCTGGAAGATAGTCATGCACCCATTATCTAAACAAATGAAACTAAAAGCCAGCAGCTGCTGGTCTGGTCCAATGACATCAATGTAGTGGTTTGAATGTCAACATTTTAAAAGTATTCAGGTTGCTTCAGAAGGAGTCCATTTAATCTTTATGGAATTTATTAAACAACACCGTGGCTGACAATAAATGTGGCATATGAACATCAGGACAAAACAGAACTTTTAAAAAATACTCTTTTCTTGTTGCACTATACTCTCAGATCCCAGGTTTTCAGAAAGCCAATTTGCTATTCTGAATCATCCACTTCCATAAAGATGTCACTGAAAAAATACTCAGAGATTCTGGTTGGCTCTTCATCCTTCTCTTGATCTTTAGCACAAAGGGGTGGCTTCTCAGATGGCTTGTTACTTGGAACCTAATAGATAAAAGAAAAGACTGCTCTTAACAGTCTGTGTGTGTTCATGTATATGTGCACTTTAGCTTCCAATTTAGATAAGAAGTTTAGGCGAAAAATTCAGAGCTTACTTAAAATGGGAAACAAGTAGATATATGTGCAGAGAAAAAAATAACTTAGTTCCCTTGTAACTTTCCTAGGCATACACAAGTCATGATTTATTCACTGGAGCAGATATCTCTCTCAAAACATGAACACTACATGCCCACCTACCCACTCCTGAAACAACTAATTCACTGTCCTTCACATCTCAAATATGCAAGTGCATTCAAAAGTAAACACATACCGTAACTGCAGCATCAGCAGCTACACTCCCATATTCCACAGATGATGATGTGCTTGTAGAGGGAAGGGAACAAGAATCCCTATCATCCTTAGGGGATGGAGAGAGCTTTTTTAGACTTCGCTTTGGAGTCACAATCCGAGGTTTTTGGATCTTCCCTCTATTCCCTTTGGTATCTTCTGCAGCTTCAGAACTACTTTTTTTGCAAATTAACGATAAAAATCCCAAAGGTTTTCGTCCACCCCTGTTCAAAACAAATACAGTCAGGATATCATAGAATTGTCCATAAAAGAAAGATGTAGGTAGTATTACATGAGTCCAATTTGCTACATGGGAAACAAACACACACCTCTGAGATCTATGAAAAGTCTAAGAAAAAAACAAAAAGTCATTCTGAGAAAGGCTTATGTATTACTGAATATTCTGGCACAAGAGTTTTTCAAAGAGACTCTTGACAATCTCCAACCCTGAGAACAGGAACCTACTATTTGCTACTAAAACAGAGCCTCTAACAACCTACCAGATCTCCGGAAAGAGATTCCAAGAGGAATAGAGACATACTCCTGAAGAGCAAGCTTAAAAGAGTGTCTTTCATGTAATCAATGGAAAAGGAAACCTGATTCCCAAGGATGGGGCACAGCAGACTATCTTAAACATCAGAAAGAAGACTATCTGCTGCCAGGTTTCAGCCTATTAACAGCACCATATGTAGCACCAATGAACTTAGGGAAGTCACAGTGATGGGGGAGGTACATAGAGTATAGACTTTTCATGTTGTTAAGAGTATATAACTTAGAAAGTAACCTTTAAGTCAAGGATTCTGATGTTAATGCATTATTACCCAATTGCTGTGGATGTTCCAGGTACAAATAACCAGTTTTGGTACTCACACAAGCATAACGAAAGAGTAAATGACAAAAGAGACCAATGGAGCAAAATCAGTGAGAGCAAGAGCAACAGAGGGCAGGTACTCAAATACTTAAACATTATAGAAAGGTATATTAAAAAAATCCACAGTCAGATGGCTACGTAAGAGGAATATCTTCTGAGCTGTCAAGATTGAAACTCCTTCAGGGGAATGACACATCTTAAGTTAGTCCTAAAAATCCAGTGTGCTGAGTACTACTCAGTAACAAATCTTATTGGCAGAAGGACAAAAATCAGAACAAATGGATGGGTGTATATATCACAACATTAGACTGAGCTAAGGAAAACAACAATTATCCTACAGCTGTATTATAGCAATGGATGTCTTGCCTCACAAGAGGCATCTGTCAGTGTCTAATGAGACATACCACATGTCAGTAGTGTCCCTAGGTCGATCTGTAATTTAATGAATAAAATAATTCAAATTTCAAAGCAGGCAGTTTGATCCTTTCTGATTTGCTGAAGAGAATAGACACTGTAACTCTTACCCACGTAGGTCACAAACAATGGTACTGTCCTTCTTGTCATACTAAGTGGAAAAGGATATAAAAACCTCAATATGGAAAACAAGGTCTTTTTTTACATAAAAGGCTGACAAAACATTGCATAAATACCTGAGTAATGAAGTTTTGGAAGACGATGCTAGGCTTCTAGTATGTTCCACCTGTCCAGATTGATGCACAACCCCCTGCTTTCCTTGTGCAATTATTTCTGCTTTTCTGCTAGAGGTTAATCTAGACATCACCTCCTCTTCTTGTTTGGATGCTGAATTCTCAAGTGGTGCTTTCCCCGAGTTCTCCAAAGTCTCAACCTGGCTTCTCTCAGCCAGGGGTGACATAGACTCAGACACCATCACAGAGGTAAGTACTTCTTCCTTTGCTGAAACTTCTGTTTTTTGAAAAGGTTTCCCTGTAAAAGGAGTTGAGAGCCATTCAAGGACTTCAGTTAACTTCAGTGATAATACAATAGTCCAAAAGATGTGTGTGATCTTAAGATGGCCTGCACCATTGCAAGAGGACTGAATTTTTGTTATTTTTTGAAGTCACCACTAAGAACTAAAAGTTCACAGCCTACTTTTAAAGTCTATGAGATCTTACAGATGTTATGGGGAGAAGCTGTCAGAAGTGTGGTTTTACAGCATTCCACCCCCATCCTTTACAGCACACCACAGAACCTAGTCAAGTCATCTAGCTGTTTAAGTTTCTACAGTTTCCCTTTAAAGTCTTTTTGAGGGCCATAGTTCTCCAAACCCTTCATAGACTCAGACCACTGAAGACTGCATTGTCACAAGTTCTGCTTTCCCTCGGATTCTTCAGAGGCAGATTAAGCTTTCAAACAATTAGATTGTTCATATATTTTTTTCAAAAACTAAATACAAAATAAAATAAAAATAAATTATTTTGGCATAGTATGGTTAAAATACCAGTTAATACCTTTGGTTATTAGCACTCTTCAACAGTTGGAAATATTTGCTTAAAAGAAGATACATTGTTTAGTCCAAAAAACCTCCCAAATTTCACAAATAGACTAGCTGCAGCCATGTTTTTAGAACCATTATTAAAGTAACAGCCAGTTATGTAATCCAACACATCTAGTTTATAGAAGAAGACATAGAATTGTTGTATTAGGCTATTACTGGGAGAATTTGTTTCTACTTTTATGTTACATAGGCTCAGACAGGACTATTGAGCACAACAACAACCAGTATAAAACTGTGATGTATTAAACACATTCATTATATTTTGTTTTACGAATTTATGTCTACCTACCAGAAGCTATCTTTGCAGCATTTGTGGATGTAACTGAATAACCCTGTATTTAAAAAAGAAAAAAAGAAGTTATTTCTCTATGTTTCTCAATACAGAGAAGACAATGAAAGCTGATAAAGTTATATCATGTGTGTACAGTTCTAAGAACAAGAGTGATACAGAAGACTACATCTTCAGTACAGCATCATCCATCACTTAACTGATTTCCTGAGCAGGCTTTTCAAGGTGTTCTTATGACAAATGACTCAAGATAAGGATGTCAAGATGAGAGGTCAAAGAAGGAAGAGGACTGTTATCCAGTCCTTCCTGGAAAAGCTCTCAGCATCATATGGGGGGATTATCACCCATTCCGTCACCCAGATAACAGTACACAATCTTAGCCTACTCCCAAAAATCAATGACAGTCACTGCCTGTCACGGTTTCAACCCATGTGGCTGTTAAGTACCACACAGCTGCTCACTCACCCTCCCCCACCCCCACAGGATGAGCGAGCGAATTGGAAGGGCAAAGGTACAGAGACTCATACATTGAGACAGGAGCAATTTAATAACTGAACTAAAATTTTAAAAAGAAAAAAACCACAATTCAGGGGGAGGTGTGAGAGAGCGCTTCCTGGCCAACTATTTATATACTGAGCATGATGTTGCATGATATGGAATATCTCCTTGGCCAATTCTGATCCGTTGCTCTGGCTATGCTCCCTCCCAGCTTCTTGTGCACCTGCACACTAGAAAAACACGGGAAGTTGGAAAGTCTTTGATTTCTTAGCAACAACTGAAAACATCAGTACGTTATCAACATTATTCCCGTACCAAATCCCATGCTGAATCCAAAACACAGCGCTATTCTAGCTACTAGGAAGAAAATTAACTCTATCCCAGCTGTAAGCAGGACACTGCCACAAGCTTGGTCATATTCTAAAAGCACAGAGGGAAGCTGGAAACATGCTGGCCAGTTTTTATTTACAGCTTGTTCTCTAAAATGAATATGCACTATGTTAAAAAATGGTAGGAATATATCTAACAACTTCTTCATGTGACAGACACCATAAGGGATCATATCATCATGCCAATCATCCAGTATGTATCTGGAGTTTTCCCTCCTACAATGTCATTTTTAGAAAGGCTGTGTGAATGAACCAAATAAGACATATTACCAGTCTGCCTACTAGGATGCCTAATAAAAAAAAAAAAACACCAAAAACCTGAGAGCCTATAAATTCTCCAAAAAATTAATACTAAATCAACAGCCCGAAAACTGTTGTGGAGTTCAAAATAAAAAGCAATCTCTGGGTGCTGATTTTCCTTCTAAGTCATATAGGCATTATATTTTTAAGCAAGTGACACTGTTAAAAAATAAACATAACTAAAATGTTCAATTACATGTTATGCATCTACACTATGCATGAAGACTTGCTTATCAAATTATGATCTCACCTTGTAAGTGGTTTCCAAGTTACCTTCCACTACAACAGAAGACAGAGTTTTCTTGGCAGGAGGAAAATCATTCTCTTCAAGCTCAGCAGCTGACCTTTTCTGAGTTGTCTGCAAATTTGGAATGGGCTCTACTGATGTACTCTTTAATCGTTTGGCTTCCATACTGCTGTGTAACGGTGCAGCAAATTCATCAGCTGAAGCTGTCAAGGATCCAGTGCTGTTTATATATAAAGTCATTATTGTGACTGTGCAAGAAGCCAATATTTACTTTGCATAACATTCCTGTACAGAAATTACACATGGATCTATGGTGATACTCCTTCTTGCTTAATGTCAATATTAACTTCAAATGTACTATTTACTACTGAGAAACATTTTGCTGCCCTGCCCTATCTTCAGTTAGAGAATTGAGTTTTTCTAGTCATAACAAAATCTAGTTACTTTAGAAGCTGTTCTATTTGAACTCCACTTGATATTTTTATAAAATGTAAAAATATGATAACTGATTAACTACCCTAGAAAGCCCTTAAATACAGTATTACTTATATGCACACTTGAATATTCATCCCCATGCCCCTACACCCTTCCACCCTCCACCAGTGTGATCTCAAAAGGCAGCAAGACACCTAGGGATGCAGCAGAAAACAGGCAAACAGGGTAAAGCAATAAAGGAACAGTGAGACAGAAGATGTACCCAAGTCTGCCTGTCAGCAATTCTGTCTATCATCAGTAGTCCCACAGGAGTTAGAATTCTTACATTGTGCAGCCAAAATTCACTCAAAGACCTATCCTTTCAATAACTAAAAGAATTACACTAACATCTGATGTCACAGGGCAAGGTCCTCCACAGTGATGTGGACTCAATTGCATCACAGCTCTAGTTACGATCTGAGCTCTTACATTAATATAGTAACAGGTTTTTTTACAACTTTGCAACACTTCCTTTTCTTCAGAATGTCTTTTTCCTTTGATGTTGTTTTTTTTTTCCTCCCAAACTGACCAGGAGATTTAGTTCAACTGTAATGTTGCAATAATAATTTTGTCACATTGCATTGAGGAGTACTCCTTTGTAAAAGAAACTCAAACCCTTTGTATTGCAGTACTGCAAACCAGATATTATTCCATTAAGTAATCAATCTGTTTGCATTTTCAGCTCTTCTGCCTTTTGAACATGGCAAGAGGATGATTCCGAATGTATGTCTACTGTTTATCATGTTGTCCAGAACACCATCTACACTAAAAATTTGGAAGGGCAATTAATAAAGAGCTATTTTACAAAACTGTTAAAGTACTGTAAAAATGTAAACATGCTTAGACTGTTCATTTCAATCGCTTTTTATTCTAAGTACCCATGGCAGAATAGACTCAGGCTGGACAAATACTTCTATTAAAAAGGAAGATTTGCCATTGAAAAAAAAATAAATCAGAATTAAGCTTGACAGCAAAATCCCCGCTAACTAAAACACTAACTTTAAACCACCAATGAGATCTTTCTCAAATCTGATTAGAGCCCTTTTCACTTTCTTAATTCTCTGACCAGTCTGCCAACCTTATTTCCTCTTGCATTTCTTCTTTCGAGAAGTTCTAATCTGTAATGCACATTCAGGGATCAATCAAGATTCACAAAAAGTGTTCATCTGTGCTTAAAAACAAAGCATTTACCTCTCTGCTTCAGTCATGCTTGTTTCACCTGCATTTATTGGGCTGATAAATATTGGTGCTGGTAGTAATGGTTCTGAAGTTTGTTCCAGCAAAGCAGATGCATCAAACTCTTTTGAGTCAGCTGGGATTTCCACCAATGTTAAAATGAATGTCTGTTCCTCCTCTGGACATGTATGATCATTGTTCACTACTATATTTTTTTTCAGGGAAATACAAGACATTAAAAAACTTATTATTTAAGTTTGAAATTACACTGTTCTCTTCATGCCTTCCCCACCTCGCGTAATAAAATTTCAGGCACTCATTTCTCCAAGGAAAACAGCACTGGGCATATTCTTGAGACAATATGCTTCCTTTCTGCTTAGATGAGATACGCATCGTCACCCCCTGGAGCCTGTTCATTGCAGTGGAGTCCTGATTGCCATTCACAATGAAGAATATTAAAAATGCCTAGTAGGGATGGAGCTTTTTAAATGGGTGTTCTAGCACTAAAGAACAATTTGCAGTTTAAATTAAACCAGTGTAATGGCAGTCCAATGGCCCTCTGTCTTTAATTGTAACTGTCAGGTATTAAGATTTACTTCCTTAAATGGCAGAAGTCTGCTGTTTTGGCAGCAAACACAAGGATTTTCCCCCTCACTGCAGACTTGCAACAAAGGACCTGAGAAGTATAGTCTTGAGTTTAATAAATGAAAAATATAAATAAATTAGTCAACAGATTGACATTAACAGATAACTGCCAACTGCCATCCATTCGAATTAATTTAAGGAGACAACTTTGTAAAGTTTTCAAAAGATGGAAAACAACAGTGCTGCTCCATTACTTAAGACAGTTCTCATTCTTGATGATGTAAAGCTGCTGTTATTCCAACATCAGCTCAGTTTGGTTATCAAATTAAAGGTGATTTAAGATGCTCTGTCCCAAGATCTTTGCAATAACATAGCACAACAAATGTCTAAGAAGAAGTGTTAGTCCTATCTTTTGCACATGCTCAGGAGTTACAAATTTGGACTGCTGTTTCCATTTAAAATAAGTATTCCGGGCTTCTGACAAAGTGATTTTCCCAAATCTTAGACAAATATTAGTTCCAAAGCAGCTCCATTTCAATTTATTTTAGGGAAAAGCAGCCATCACCTTCATATTTTCATCACATCTAAACAGTTTGAGTTAATCTGCTGACTCACTACAGCTAAAGAAGGAAGACTGCTTGTCTTCTTCCTTTTTCTTCTCCTCTTTCTCCCCTGCTCCACTTAGAGAGTCCAGCCCTCCCACTCATACAACTCTCACACTGGCATTCACTTGACAATTTCACGAGCTACTATAGCTCACTAAGCCAGTGGAAAACTACACAGATTCTCTCCCTCTGTCATGTTCAACTTTTGATGGGTAAGTGAGTCAGAGGCTTATAAAACGCTCTAACAACTGCTAAACGTAGCACAAGGTAAGCAGCAGCTGTTCACAGCAGGGAGCAGAGAGCAAGAAGTTTCCCTTCCATTGATATTTAAACTTAATGAAGTGCCATTCAAAAAGTTCCCAAGTCTAGTTTGTGTTAATGAAACCTAACGATAAGAGGCCAGGGCACAGCACTGTGCTGTGGGTCATTATTTTTGTTAATGAAATAGATTGATTCACCATGCCAGTGAAAACATTTTATTTTTTTAATTCATCTTTGCGTAACCACAAGATACACAACTGTGAGCTTTTCCTAACTTAGAATACTAGCACATTATACCTGAAGCCTCTTCTGTGCTGCTTACGCATTGCTGTTGAGCATCCTGAGCACAAGCTTCGTTCTAGAAATAACACATTTGAAATAAAACAAGTTAATAAATCTGAGAAATAACTCTAGAAAACAGGAAGGAAACTAAGCATGTCAAATGCTGAAGACCCAAAAAATCTAATGACATCATCATAATTACATTTGTCAGCTTTTACTGCTAGCTATTCTACGTTGAGGGATATTAGCCTGACAAGGACAAGAAACACTTGGGCAGCACAAAATTTATATGCAGCTCATTGTCTGTACTGATGGTTTGTCAAAATAAATTTACACTTCCTACAGCACAACTCTATCAGAGATGACTCACACAATAAATTGCCCAGTGGCACTAAGAAAACAAATTCCCCCAAACATTACAAAAGCACTGAGTGCCAAAGAAAAACACCAGGCTCTGCAACTCATCTAACCATTCCTTTTTATGGCATGTACCTTTGCTAAAACCAGGAATACTCTACTGCTCCGGCAGGGGGATTGGACTAGGTGATCTTTCGAGGTCCCTTCCAATTTCTAACATTCTGTGATTCTGTGGTTCTGTGAAGTTGCCTCTTCTCGCACTCTCTGCCAGTCCTGTAAGAGCCCAGTCATTCTTGTACCTTGTTCTAACGTGAGATCAACCTTGACACATCAACAGGTTGCACTGGGGAAACAAGCTACTACTCATCAGTTGTTCCTCCATAACTGCATGTACACTGATCTCAGGCAACACTAGAAAACCTGAGGGAACTGAGAAGGAACCTTTCTCTAATGAAGAAATAAGATAATTCTTGTTTATACTAGAACAGGGATACATGAACCACTGCAAAGAAATGGTTGTGAAAGACATGCTGTTTGTCCATGACAGTATACATGCAAAACTCTTAATTGGGTTTTGAAATAAATGGGAAAGAGCACAGCAAAGGATGAAGTTTGTTTTAAACAAAGCAAATGAAGATGACAATGAAAATAATGAGTTCAGCAGTGACATTTTAACCTAATTTTAATTTAAACCAATATGACAGGAACAGGTCAGACTGAATGAAAATGAGTCCTAGCTAACTTCTTCCATCAAAACTTTTTTAAAAATGGCTCAAAATTTTGCTAACACATCAGTTATTGCTGAAATGCTATAGACTGAGGCTTGTGAAGATTAAGTTTGTCTGAAACATTAAGTTTAGTTATGTCTTTGCAAAAAAGAAAGGTTCATTCACCTGCTGAAGTACCAGGTCTTTAAAATGGGTGAGTACATCTGCACTGAAAACCTCTTCCTTTACAGAATTTCTGAAACTGGGCACTTCTAGATTGTAATTAAGTTATTTACCTGTGTAAAGTTGACTGTGCATATATTGTACTCAGGAGAACAGGGATTTTGCTTAGAATGTCCATCCACAGAACTTTGATTTGGACAATCCTCTAGCTGAAGGTGAGATTTTTCAGGTTTTGATGATTCAGTTGGAGGTCTTAAGTCTTCTGAATTTCTATAAGCATCTTTCATCTCTTTTTCTGTTCTGTAAGGCATGTATCCAGTTAACTGGAAACCAATTGAAGATACCCTGTGCATGGGCTAAATTCTATATAATTATTTATTTAATATGAAGCTTATGTAGCTACAGAGAAGCAGTTACATCATTCTACTAAACGCACAATCTTCAAACAAGTCTACATGAAGTATTTCAGGAAAAAGCCTCCCTAACACCATTAATTGAGACTTTACTACTGAAAGCATGACCAAGCAGGAAGCCTTACAAGCTCATTAACATTTCCAAATTGACCAGCTCCTTAACATTTCTTTTCAGATGCAGTTTCATGGGAGACAATTAAGCAGGAAGGTGATTACTAAGTTCTGAAACAGCAAACATAAGTTAATGCTTTACCTCCAAAAGCTGTAGGACAACATGCAAGAGAGAAAAACCTTAAAAATAAAACTCTAAACCATACGCTTTAGTGCATAAACACACACAATATCTGTAAACACACTGTTTCCATCACAGACACATACTACACACGCACTCAGCTGCGTATTTTAAGGGACTTTAGAAATAAAGTCAATATTAACCGATGATTCTTCCTACCTCTCAGTTTTGCCTACTTGCTTGGTAAGTTCCATACTTCCAGTTGCGAAATGATGAAGAACTGAAGAATCACTTGCAGCTGGTCTGACCTGTTCTAGTTCCACCTTCTGCACTTCTGCAGTACCTCTCAGGGCTGTAGATTCTAAGATACATAAGAATAGAAATTACTTTTTTGTGTGTGTGCATGTGAAAATATATATATATATTATTTTACAAATAAGCTTTTATAAATTAAAACGTATATGTATGTAGAGGTGTATATATAAACACACTACAAAATCATTAGTTTTGCTGTCTATGTACACATATATTATGACTTATATAAATGAAACATATACACATATCTCATATTGCCTTTGGTATGTTTTGCATTCTGCCAGTGCTATGAAGATAATTAAAAGTTTGAAGACCACCTTTTTTGGGAGTGCTTTAAGAATACCACAACAATTTTGTACATCTCCTTTTAATAGAAGGGAAAGACAATAATAATAGAAAAAAGTACACTCTATTGTAATGTATTTCTGTAATCAGCAGTCCCGTAATTTAAGGGCTTTCCAGCTAATTTAAGAACTGCACAGAAAAACTGCTATTCAGATTTCATTTAATTTTATACTGATAGGTATACTTATGTACAAAACTATACCATAAATGGATGCCCTATAGTACAGTGGTGATGCATCATCTGTGAATATGAACAGAAAGTGAAGACTTTCAGCTTAGTTTCATTTCATAAAGAGACGCCAGTCCATCAGAAGAAACCATTTTCAGAACCCTAGGATGAGAAATATGCTTACCACTTGGAACTTGCTCTAGCTGTTCCACAAGTACATTTGTATTAAGTGACTTCTGAATTATGTTTTCATTGGACCTCAATACTCCAAAGTCTGGCTCAGGCTTCAGGAGCCTGCCTCTTGTCAGTCTCATACTATTCACCATAGGCAAAGAGCTATCACTGCAAGTAAAAAGGAAAAATGCCATCAACGCACAGTTTTTGATTTCTGACAGTACAGAGAAGAGATAGAAGAGACATAGTAGATTAGATGATGAAGGGCTGAAATACAGGCTGCAGCTGTCAGAGGAGACAGAAGACTGTTTGGCAGACCAAAAAATAAAGATAACCTGGGAATCAGAACAGGCAGGTACACTGCAATGTACTCTAACTACAGAAAAAAAGTAATAATTGAAATATTTTAAAAATACGAGAAGATGAGAAATCTAACACTGATCACGTAATACAACAGAAGAACCACTGGACTTAAAATAAGATATCTTTGATTATAATTTTTCAGAGTACTATAATCTGATAGTTCATTCAAGCAATTGACAAGTTAAATAGTCTTTCAATTAACACAACATGATCACCAGCAGATTTTTTTCTGAGGTGTTCCATCAAGCTATTTCAACATTCACAAATGCTTGAACAAGATTAAAAAACATAAAGCATTCAAAACCATAATTATAGAAGATCAACTGGTTCCTTGACATCCCTTTGCTACAAATCTTTGACCTAAATCCCATAACAGCAGTGATAGCAATTTGCTTTGGCCTGATTAGCTGTAGAGTACTTTGGGAAAATGAGCTTAGTAACAGTGATCCATACCAACTAAGTTCAAATATTTTTTTTTCTCCCCCAGCAGGGTAAACTTAACTTCAGGAGTAAAGAACAAGTTCTACATCCCCAAAATTATATACCAACATCTCACAAAAGTTGTTAGAAAGAGGCAGGAGGGGTTTTCCAGATTACATAGTGAATTACATAAACTGAGAAACCTTCGCTAAAGCAAGACTGCTTGCAATTAGGTAAAAATGCCAGAAAGAACCTAGCTAAAGTAAGCAGTGTCAAAGGATCTCTCTCCCTAAAGAAGAAGAAGTAGTAATTTAACCTGGTATCTGTAGCATTTTCCTCAAAATATTCTTCACCACCTATGCATGCGCCAATGATTTGATCTTCTCCATTAAAGTTGCTTCCATCCTTTGAAGGAATCAATTCATTGGTAGAAGTGTCTGAAGAAAGTAAATGCTGATTAGAAGTTCTATTTTGTTTGGAGTAGGTGTGGCTAATGTCCAACTCATCTTGAGCAGGTAACATGTGTGTCCATTCTGGTTAGAACGATAAACAGAACAGAAAAGCATAATTTAAAAGACTCAGGTTTGGCATGTACATAAAGCTATTTTTACAGATGTTCAACTTCTAAACTCATTTAACAGTCTGTATTCTCCAAAGATGCAAATTCAAATCCCAAGTAAATGCAGTCCCAAGATCACACTTTTGATAGTAAGAATGCATAAACTAACGTTCAAACAATGAAGGCAGATAATAAATTCTAAATAAAAGTCTATAAAAAGCTAGACTAATCACAGGTAATTTCAGCTTGTAGCTAGTTAGGTGGAAAAAGCTATGCTTTACATTAAAGCCTCAAAAAGACCACTGATAGTTACGGTCATTTAAGTTCAATTCCTTTCTTTTGTCCAATTTATATGACCAAATTAATTTAAACATATCCCTCCTAAAACACGTCTCACAAACTCTAGCACAGTAATGCATTTGGCAGTATCCAGTAAGGTGCCTTACTTTTTCCAGCCAACCTGCATTGCCTAGTTTTACTATGTGTTACAATTCAGAATGACTAAAAGCATAAAAGACCTTGACCTCCTGCTATGCAGCAGCATGTGGAAGAACTTTGCAGCCGCTGCTCCATCCCTCCCTAGGTGGGCCTTTGTCCCATAAATCAGATCATACCTTCAGTGCTTGTTTTTAACTGGAACATTGGATCACCCATTGCAAGTAAAGTCATGGCAGCTTCAGTGCTTCCATCACTAATTCCTGCAAAGTTGTTCATACACATTAAAAGTCACAGGCACATTAACCAGCAATCCACTTATCCATATTCAAAAAGGATTTGACACTATCATAAATACATGTATTTTTTAAATTGTTGCCATTCACAGATCAAGATGCTTATAGACACACAACAGTTCTCACCCACTAAATTCAAACTATTGTAAAAACACTGAGCAGGAATAGGTACAGGTGGCAAGGTGCTGGCAGCAGGGGGTCTGCCCTTGACACAGCTGGTTCCAACTGACCCATCATAGGACACAGCTGAGCCTGTCAGACAAGATGATGGCATCTTTGGGAAACATATTTAAGAAAAAGGAGAATGTCGCACAGCAGCAAAGAGTGAGGGAAAAAGTGTCACAAACAACCCTGTCAAACACCAAGGTCATTAAGGAAGGAGGGGGAGGAGGTGCTAAATGTATGGGAGTGGAGATTCGCCTACAACCTGTGGAGGAGACATTTGTAGAGCAGGCAGATACTCCCTGAAGCAAGTGCGCCCTGTACAGGACCCACAGTGGAGCAGGCTTATCCTGAAGGACGGACTGTACCCCACGGGAAGGACCCCATGCTGGAGCATGTTAAGTGTTAGTAAGTCATCTCCTTGTCTTTATCTCAACCCAGGAGCTTTTCCATTCTATTTTCTCCCCTCATCCTGTTGAGGATGAGTGGGAGAGAAGCTGGGTGGGCATCTCACAGCCAGCCAAGGTCAGCCCACCACAAATGGAAAGGAAAGAGGTAACAGTTTAATCACAGAAACCCATAACCTATAGTGTTGATCCATATCCCACTTTAGACTCCCAATTCCTAATCTCTATCCAGAATACAACACTTTGCCTATCACTAACTGGTCACATCCAACAAAACATTTCCACCCTCCAGAGCTACTGCACTGAAATAAATTGAAAGAACAAAGTATGCTTCCCCTTCTCCAACTAAGACAGTATGCTACTCAATTTCCAGTGCTTCCTAGGAAGATGTATTGACAATGTATTTAAAAGTGAAAGCTATTCTAAAAATTCATAGATCCATAAGAGTTTGTAGCATACCTCACATTAAAATATTTGCTTCTGAAGACTGGGATCATATGCTATTTTACCAATTTAAGATATTGAAGTCAGAGACCACAGAGATGACAAGGCTATGAATCCACCCATTCTGTATCACTCAGTTACACATCAAGCAAGCTGTGCAATTAAGCACTTGCAAAGTTTCCTCTTCTTGTAGTACAACTAACCACAGCATGTGAAAGTTAGAGACAGGACACATGAAAGGCACATTCTTGACCTTGGGGAACAGCACCTTGAAATGCTTAGTCCCCCTACTTGATAGAAGACAGTAAGAAAGCAAATGGTTTAAATCTCCTCCAAAACATAAAAGCATCCAGTATCTCATGAGCAGGTTTCTTTATAAGATATATAAACACCCAAACTTCCAGCAAGCATAACTACATATTGGTAGCAAGTTAACAGAAAAGATATGAACAATATTGTTTCATATCTACCTTTGTCCACTTCTGGATTTTCATGTACAGTTGTTTCCTTAAATAAAAAGAAAAACAATATCAAAGTTTTATATTAAATAAGCCCACAATTTAAATTTAATGCTTACAGGTAAATTCTCTGCCTAAAGGTTGCCCTGGCTTTAAAAGGGTCTTTTAAAGGCTGACAGTATTTACTTACATAGTTTTATCATAGCAGTGTCCCTCATATCTGTGTGGACAGGTAAGAGTCTATTAGCTATACTGTTACAAGCCCACATGGCAAACAAGCACTGTTCATGTAGCTTTGAACGTGCTATGAAACACCACCACCACCAAGCAGACAGCTGTTGAGGTGCTTACTTTTTCCTCTCTCTGTACCACCGGCTGGACAGATGCATGAGGGAGACTTTCAGCATCAATAGCCACCTGCATATCTGGTATATTCACTGATATTTCCACCTGTAAAAATAATTTAAGAAGTATTTCAGTTCATTGTCACCAAAAGAAAACATCAAGCACAAATTTTTATAAACCACATATAGTTACTTTTGGGATCCTTCCCAAAAATCAAGTCTTATACTACATATCTTCTGATTTAAGAAGGCAGCAGTTGTATAAACTGGAGGCAGAACTGCTAGTACTGCTTGTAACTAACTGGAAGCATCAAACAACCTAACACCTTGTTTCTAGTTGGTTATTACTCCACCAAACTAAGTTATGTGGCTGAAGTCTTTCATGGTGGCTGTTTACCTCAAATCCATTTTGTGAGTTTTCACACTTTTTCTGCTTTTTAAGTCTTCAGGAAAGAAAAACACTTCAGCCTTTTTCCAAAGTAAGACTAAGGAATACACACATCCACACACAGACACAAACAAACTCACCATTCTACCTATTTTTTTTCTTCTTCTTTAACACTGTCTTTTAACTGAGAAATTAAGATGTGGCATTTTCAGAAATGAGGACTCAAAGTTTGGTAGAAAGGCTACAATATTTCCAGTGAGGTTCTTATGAAAAACACTGCTCTATCTGGGTACCTTTCAAAGGCTTGCACTTTTACAGATACTTTCCACTGAGCTATTTAAATTTGACAACAGCCGAGCCCTCAGGTAATCTAACCATATCCCTTATTAGTACTCATGGCTCCTGTGTGTTAAAACAGGAAACTTGATCATCACCCCCAAACGTAATATATCCCACATCATTGAAATTAAGAGATTCAGCAAGACTTTCGGTGCAAAAACTTTGCTGTCCATTATTGTTCTAGAGTATCGGTGTTTTGACTGAGCTTTAAATTCTCTTGCTGTTTCACCCAGAGAAAGAAATGGTGTGATTAATTCAGGAAACAAAAAAGCAGGATCTCAAGAGGACAAGAGGGGAAGATGACTAGCAGCAGTAAGCAAGAAGAATTTGAGTGAATGGAAAGAAGTAGTGATGAAGGTCTGACACATAAATGGAACAGATCAGATAAACATATTTGGAACAAAGCAATAAGAAAAAAAAGAGCTATGAAGACACATCACTGAGGTCATGTTGAATGACAGGGAAAAAACAGAAAAATGTCTAAACCTTTGAGCACAATCCTTCTCAAGGCCTTGAACAGAGTCCACTGTTCCCAAACCTCAACAGTTCCCTAATGATAAAAAAAGTATTCCCTTTCCTCTCTACTGACTGGTCTTAGCAGACATGACACCAAGTCTTGGTACAGTCTTACAGTCCCGAGTTTTAGTCTAGCCTAAGAGTACAATTAAAACATAGGCCTGCACTCTGGTCTTGGTTTCCAACTCTACAAATGGTCTACAGAAGAGTCAAAACATACAGCTCTTGAAAAAAATTGACAAAGGTGTAGATGGTCTCTCATTGACAGCAGCAGGAAATGAGGCCCATGCATTTGCCCATGACAAACAGAGCAGGAACATCCCTGAATGGACTGCAGCCCATGGAGGCCCCACGCTAGAGCATGGGCAAGGAGCGGAGTCCATTGCAATGTCAAACTCTACAGCCTGACTCAAAGGGACAAGTGCTGGAGATTTTAATCGACATATGTTTAAAATTCTTTTAACCCATTATTTGAGTTATATGCTACAGTAAGTACTATAGCAAGAGCAACATGAATCAAGGGAAGACCTACCTCACTAGAAACCAGGTAAGTGCAATGGTGACCAACCTGAGCTGGCTTTGGTGCCCAAAAGCTCCACACAACATGCTGCCTCTCCTGAGTGATGACATAATACACGGAGCCCAAGGCATGGACTAAATAACTCAAAGGACATTTGATGGATATTTTAATGGGGTGGACCACAAAGGGAGTGATATCCATGTATATACCAAAGGACAGGAAGAGAAGTTGTGGTTAAGAAGGATGTACTGGATAGTGTAGGACCTGTATGAAATAAAGGGTAAAGATTGTACTGGGCACAGCTGGGATGAAGTTCTTTTTCTCCTCAGCAGCCCACTGCTTTCTTTCGGATTTATGACTACAACAGTGTTGATACACACCAGTCTTTTTGCTATTGCTGAACAGTGCTTGCACAATGTCAAAGCTTTTGTTTTCCTACTCTTGCGCCAGCAAGTAGGCTGGGGGTGAGCAAGAGGTCGGGAGAGGACACAGCTGGGACAGCTGACCCAAACTGAACAAAGGGATATTCTATATCATATGATGTCATGCTCAGCAATAAAAGCTCAGGGAAAGGACAAGAAAGAGAACAGCACTTGTGGTTATGGCATTTGTCTTCTAGAGTAACCTTTACACAGGCTAAGGCCCTGCTCTCCAGGAAGTGGCCTGCCAATGTAAAGTAGTGAATAAATTCCTTATTTTGGTTTGCTTTCACATGCAGCTGTTGCTTCACCTATTGAACTGTCTTTATATCAATCCTTAAGTCTTCTTACCTTCGTTCTATTTTCTGCTTGTCCCACAGGAGAGGGGAGCTAGCAAGCAGCTCTGTGTGTGCCCAGCTGCTGATCAGGGTCAGCCCACCACACAGCTGAAGTTTCTTATTCCCTAAAATTCAAATGTAAAACTAAAATGCTCCATTTGTTCCATCTCAGGCCTCAAAATACGCAGTAAGGATGGTAGTCTGTGCCTACATTCAATCCCAATAAACAAACTGGTGAGCAGCCTGCAGAACTACATACAGTTTGTAAATATAACTGGACCTTAGACTGATGTAGTATTTTGTTCAAAACCAAGTACATGTGCCAAGTAACATCCCTGCTACTCTCAACGCCAGTCTTAACAAATTAAACTCCATTCGGATAAAATCCAAGTACTTGGAGATGCAATTAGAATAAAAGATGTTTAAACAATCAAAACAAAATTACATATGCAGAACCCAGCTACTTGATACCTCCTCCATGGTCTCCTCTATCTGAACAGGAACAGGTTTTGGAGATCGAAGACCTATAGGAATAAACACTGGAGCTTTGTTTACTTCCTCTGGTGCAAAGCATTCATCTTCTTCATCAGGCTCAAAGTCATCTGCCTCCTCCTCCTCCTCCTCTGGGGAAGCCCAGAGGGTCACCAAGGTTGTCTTTGAACTTCTGTGCTCCTTCCCAGATTTCTTTCTATGTGTAGTTTTCAAACTTTTGCCTCTAGTAACACTCAGTTTAACTTCTTGCCTTTGATTCCCCTTCTCACTGCAATCAGCCACACATCCAGAAGCAGAAGCAGTTCTTAGGTCCAAGACATGTTCTGGCAGCGCTATCCGTTTTGACGGCCTTCTGGACTGCCTTCTTAAAGTACAGAACAAAAGCATGTTTAAAAACAATGAAGTTCATGACACTTCAAAAAAAAGCGGTACCACAAATCAAAACAAACTCAATGAATGAAAACAGATCACTCTGACCAACAGTACAATCTATTTACTTCCTAAAGTACAGTCACAAAAATGCATCCACATGCCATTTAATCAGAAATCATAATTTCTTTATGTATGCACAAAGTACTGATTGTAAATGTGTATTAAGCAGCTCCAAAGTGTTGGAAAGCTGCACAATTAAACTTAGAAGATACAGAATTCTTTGTTTTGAAAATCATAGAATCACAGAACGGTTTGGGTTGGAAAGGACATTAGAGACCATCTAGTTCTAGTTCCAGCCCCCCTGCCATGGGCAGGGATACCTCCCACTAGCCCAGGTTGCTCAAAGCCTCATCCAGCCTGGCCTTGAACACCTCCAGGGATGGAGCATCCACAGCTTCTCTGGGCAACCTGTTCCAGTGCCTCACCACCCTCACAGTAAAGAATTTCTTTCTAATACCTAGTCTAAATCTGCCCTCTTCCAGCTTAGATCCATTACCCCTCGTCCTGTTGCTACATGCCCTTGTAAAAGTCCCTCCCCAGCTTTCCTGTAGGGAA